CCAGCTGCCGGCACAGCTGCAGCATCACATAGCCTTTGTTGGGGCGTGCTGCTTCATGAACCAGGGGGATTTTTTCCCTTGGGAGTTCTTGTTTCCTCCTTCCATGCACAGCACGTAGCTGAGGATGCCGCGTCCACCGCCGAAACGCTTCCCCCGTGCTGAAGCCGGTCCCACGTGCCGAACACCCACGGATTTTAGGGCACCACGATGTGACACCGAAAGCTGTACAGAAACTAACCTCAAATGAACCTGGTACTAACAACACGTCTTTCTAGACAAGGGAAGGTTTGGAAAAGGTTTGACACCGACCTTCTGAAGGCTCCTTCAGGCTTCCAGACGCCGTTTTCGTTCTTCACTTGCATGTAGGTACCGAAGAGCATGCAGTAGACCGTGGCTGCGATGCCAAAGTAGTCCGTCTAAACGAAGCACACGCAAGTTTCACATTAAACACGTACAGAGACAGCTAAAAATTACCTGAAAAAACCACTCTGTGGAGCCAATAGGGTAAGCTCTGCAAGAAGAGGGTTGAGGATCATGTTTTTAAAGCAACAAGCTGAATCTACGACTCTGCTGCAAAAGTCTAATATTTCTGTGCTCCATTTATTCGCGCGATGCACGCGGTGAGCCCCGATCCCTCAGGCTGTCTGTGCAATCTCATAGAATCATAGAATGGTTAGGGCTGGAAGGGACCTTCAAAGGTCATCTAGTCCAACCCCCCTGCAAGGAACAGGGATATCTCCAACTAGATCAGGTTGCTCAGGGCCTCGTCCAACCTGGCCTTGAACGCCTCCAGGGATGGAGCATCCACCACCTCTCCGGGCAACCTGTTCCAGTGTTCTACAACTCTCATGGTCAAGAATTTTTTCCTAATATCCAACCTGAATCTACCTCCCTCTATTTTAAAACCATTACCCCTTGTCCTATCACAACTGGCCCTCCTGAACAGCCTCTCCCCATCTTTCTTGTAGGCCCCCTTGAGGTACTGGAAGACCGCTATAAGGTCACCCCGGAGCCTCCTCTTCTCCACGCTGAACAGCCCCAACTCTTTCAGCCTGTCCTCATAGGAAAGGTGCTCCAGCCCTCTTATCATCTTAGTGGCCCTCCTCTGGACCCTCTCCAAGTGGTCCATGTCCTTCTTATGTTGGGGACTCCAGAACTGGACGCAATACTCCAAGTGAGGTCTCACGAGGGCAGAGTAGAGGGGGAGAATCACCTCCCTTGACCTGCTGGCCACGCTCCTCTTGATGCAACCCAGGATGCGGTTGGCCTTCTGGGCCAACCAGATCTCATACCTGATAGTTCCATGGTTTCTGTGTCAGCATTTCAATACACTGGAACCCAGATGTCTCACACTTTGCAGTAAACGCCGTTCCTTCAGGAAACAGTTTCATGTCTATACTCTGCCCCAAGTCAATGAGCGTCAAGCCGTGAGAGAGACCATCTATGTCACACGTATCGTTGTCCAGAAACCTTCAACCATGACGACACGAAGCGATCACGTAAGCATCGAGGTTATGATACCATGCCACGCTGGCATCTCAGGTGGCAGAGGGAGATACTTGCCTTTCTCCAAGTATGAAATTGTCAGGCTTGATGTCACCATGAATGATTTTGCAGCTGTGGAGCTCTTCCACCATATAAAGAATTTTTACAGCAAAGTAGATTACAAGTGCCTGAGGCATCACCTTCTCCGGAAGCTTTTTGTAAATGTTTATGGCATTCTGTAAACCAAAAGACAGGGAAGAACCATCAGGAACAACTCGAGATGGACTACAGGTCCATGTTGATAAACCATGAAGAATACGTTCACAATGAAGGTCCATAAAGTGGAGAGGAGGCATCTGAATATTGTAATACGACAGCACTCCAAAAAGCACATAGATGCTCCAGAGCACAAGCTGATCACCCTTACCAGCAACGTTCCGTAGTTGTAGAGCTCACCGACCAAAATGCTTCCATTTTGAAAGAAGTGAGCAGAATAAAAGTGGATGTAGAGATGGCGTACGCTTGGATCGAGCCTTTCTACCAGTTGTGTTGCTATATAGAACTCCCAGGGGTTGGCAGGCTTCTGGACCTGCAACCAAAAAGTTGATTTACTAGGAAAGTCTATTAGCACTAAAGCAGAAGCTCTTCTCAGGGTGGGTTTTTTGTTTGGTTTTCAATGGCAGACTAGGCATTTTCCCTCTTGACCAAATGAAACACATAGCTACAGTAATTAACCTCAGGTCGATACACTCCATGATTAATCCTCTTGAATCATAGAATCACAGAATGGTTTGGGTTGGAAGCGACCTCAAAGATCATCCAGTTCCAACCCCCCTGCCATGGGCAGGGACACCCTCCACTACACCAGGTTGCCCAAAGCCTCATCCAACCTGGCCTTGAACACCTCCAGGGATGGGGCAGCCACAGCTTCTCTGGAATCAAGAATCAAGACTTGGATTACGTGCCACAATTCCGTTCTGGCTTATACACTCTTTTGTGTTATTTACAAGGTCAGAGGACAAACAGCTTCCCATGTAGAATGAATCCAACGTGACAGCACTCAAACTGAGCAAGGCTTTGAGGACAGACCCATATGCTTTACCTCATATTTAAAAATAAGAAAACTCAGCAGAATCCCCCCAGGGTAGGCTGGCATTACTATGAGACTCTAGAATTTTCCAGCAGAGCTATTCTGAATCACCACCACTCACCTTGAATACCACTTTCTGATTGTTTCTAGGGTTACTTGCATCCAGAATGGAAGCCTGATAGACTTGAGCAAAAGCTCCCTCTCCAACCAAGCAGTCCACATGGAACGAGCTGGAACCTTTAAGAGATGAACAACATTAAGTCCTGCTCGCAAACTTCACAGAGAGGCATCACTACTCAGAGGAAAAAAAAAAAAAAAAAAAAGAAAAAAGCACCAACCTACATAAGTTACTGCTTTAACCCTACTGCTAGTCTTTCTCTACAAGTCTCTTCTTGCTAGCCAGCCTTTCCATAAAGGATTCCAGACTTTACTCACTCTTGAGAACAACAGCGCTGTGAAGTGCCACATACTAAAAATCAGCGTTTCTATTTTTAGGCTGACTCCCTGGAAGTAATCAAATTCCAAAGTTCATTCCTTGAAAAGTAAACTCTACTCTTGAAGTCCCACAAATACGTCACAATTACTGTCACACGGATTTTGTTGACAGAGGACGGCTGCTGTCCCATGCCCAGTTTGAGAGCTGTGTCACAGATTACTGGGAAAGGGAAACTAGGAAAAATCCCTGCTCAGAATGCCTAATCAAAAATGCCTGTGCTACAAAAGACAAACAAAAAACCCAGGTCTGATTTCAAAATCTGAGGTTTAGATAATCCAGAAGCTATCTGGATACGCACACATAAATGAACTAGAAAAGTACTTCAGAGATTCCCAAAAAAAACTCAAAAAAAAGCTTCAAAGTGAAATGTTTGAAGTAGCTCTTACCCAGTGGGAGTTGAGTCTTCAGTTTGATGGACGGAAGAGCAGATTTCCACTCAAAGTAGTTGGCATAGGTGTGGAGTGGTTTAGGAAGCTCTGATAAGAATTTGCAAATCAATTCCTTATCCCAAGGGTTCTCAACAAGGACTTCATGGAAAGAAGAAAAATATTTAAGCTGTGAGAAAAATGTCATTTCAAAGAGGTAACACTAGTTTATATTTGATGCGTCACTGATCTAAAAAAAAAATAAGTATGTATCAAAGTGGGATAAGTTAAGAAGTCTTCAATTTTGACAATCCAGCTTTTATACCTATGTCTTCCCTGCTTATGTTGTCCAGAAAGACAGATGTTTCTGAAGTGTTTGAGCCTCAACTAGCAAAGAACCCTTAGGCACTCCCGAGTACTCCTGTCCTTCAGAAAATGCAGGTACTACCCACGCTTGTCCTTCCCTACATCACTCATAGAATCATAGAATGGTTAGGGCTGGAAGGGACCTTCAAAGGTCATCTAGTCCAACCCCTCTGCAAGGAACAGGGTTATCTCCAACTCAATCAGGTTGCTCAGGGCCTCGTCCAACCTGGCCTTGAACGTCCCCAGGGATGGAGCATCCAAGACCAGGTTGGATGAGGCAGGCAGCGATTCCTCGCAGGAGCCGTGGGATGGTTTTGTCACTGCAGTGACCACCTTCACGTTGGAACAAAGCTCTGCTTTGCTCATGACATGAGCACCTCTCCAGTCTCAGACTTGACAGAAGAAAACTGTAGGTGATGCTCCGTACCTGCAGCTCTAACACTCCGGGCTATCCTGTCCTGCCCAGCTCCAGAGAGCTTTTCGTGGGAAGCTTTGTCCACCCCAACAGACGACGAATATTCGGTTCCGCTCGTGGCATTCTGCTCGTGTAGTCTTTGAGAAGCAGCTGTAGCAGTTCCTTGAATTCCATTTCCCTGTTTCAAGACATATCCTTGAAGCTCTCCTTGTTCTGCAACGCGTTCAAGAGCAGGGCTGCATGTTGAAAACAAAATATTATTAATTGACAGTGCTGCCATGGTATTTTTGCATCTTCAGCTAGCAAAAAAACGTGTCAGATGTCCATGCTTGCAACTTTGGTCATTAAGATGACTAAAATGAACATTTCTTGAGAAAATAAGATCTGGTCATATCGTGCCATCCATAGTTTAATAACTTTCGAGTTCGTTGGCCAACAAGTTCAGCCAATATTGAAAAGAAAGCAGCAGTTTTACACACACAGCCGTTAAAACTGAAATCATAGGAGCGTTTTCAGGGGCATTATCCCCACACCCAGGTGATTCGGCTCACTCCTCAAAGCGCCGAGAGGTAGGCTAAGCAGAGTCAGTCTGACACAGAATACTTGGAAATCCTTGGAAAACTTGGTTCAAGAGCAGCAGAGCAGAGCTGCCCGCTCTGGCACAGCTTTGCTTAGCACTCTTGAGAACCTCAGCAGGTCATGACATACCTTAGCTTCTTAGTTTTTGTCTGCTTGTGCAGTTCTTCAGAAAACTCCAGGTCCATTTGCGGCGAGTCATCCCCACAGGCTGAACAGAAGGAGTAACAACAACAGCAAACGTTTATTTTCCCCAAAGGCAAAGCACATTTAGAGCCTTCTTACCCGGACAAGGAGGTTGCCACACCGCAGCTGTGAAAGCTGCGAAGGTATCACAAGGGCTAGAACTCAACAAGCCTATTTTAAAATACGTAAGGAAAGCCAAGAGCCTGATTTCTTTAGGGAGTGTATTCCAAGACGAAAGAGGGGCAGGTCAGCATAAAGGTGCCCCCAGAAGAAGGTGTTGGGACTTCAGTCAATTTTTTGACTATTTACAATCTCTTGGAACAGTTCAGAACAGCAGTTCTACAGCACAGTCAAAGCCTCTCTTGTCCCTTGTCACCTTCTCTTATTCCTCCAACTAAAAATTCTTGGAAGGCTTGTGTGCTGGCCAGCCCACGCTCCCAGCTGCTGTTCTGCAAGGAGTTTGTATCCAGAAGGGGCAGCCGTGGGAGCCATACCTACGTGGGATCTGGCAAAGCCCACGTGGCAACCAGGGCACAGAAATGGAGTTATGCAGTAGTGGATGAGATGCTCTCAACCTATAGTATTCAGTGTCTCACCTTTGTTCTCCAAAGCTTGGCGTGAACGTGCCGACAGGTAATTAAACGGTGTTGACACAAGCTGGGCAGCTCGTGCAAAGTCTCTCGTGTTGTTTGGACTGGGAGCTAACGTTTTATTACTGCTCGGTACATTCCACACTGTATAGTCATCCCTCAAGAACTCTGGTGTCCCTGTTTCTTCCTAGACAGGAAAAAAAAAATTAAAAAATATATAAACCATCCTACCAGGGCTGCACTGTAACCCACTGGCAGCCTCTGCAGCCAGTTTCAACGACAGTCTGACTGCATCAACTTACAAAATTAGAAAGATAAAGGAATGGCAACCTAAGCTAAACCACAGGTTCACATAGTTTTGGATCAGGCAATGATCAACACCATGGCAAAATGCTAGACAACAAGAAGTCACCATAAGAGTCTGAAAAAGCCTCTCTCGTTCCTTGGTGATCACTCATCTCCAAGCAGCCTGAAGCCCTACGCATCTCCTTGGCTACAAAAAGCCTTAGGTGGTTATTAGAACCTTAAGTGCTTCTTGCTCCCTGTCCTTTCCTCACCAAACAGATGCCCAATCCTCACATCACCTGCAGTCACATTTGTTCTGGAGACAGAGGTCTCCACTATCAAGCTCCGAGAAGTTTTGTGAAAAGTTAACAACTGGAAAAGTTCCTCCCCATGGCAGGAAATGGGAAGGGGTACCTAGACATCAGCTAGGTATCATTCATAAGAACGTTGCGGGATGGGGACAGAACAAAGGCACATACAACCACCTCCGACATCCCCTGTAACCATGGAACCCATTTTCAAGGTTAGTTCTGGCAATAAGACCAACTGCTCACTCCTGTACTCACTGTACAGTCAGCCAAGGGACGTTCTCCAACAGTTCTGGGCTCTTCTGGCTTGTTCTTGTGCTGCAGGATCCTGACAAAACAGGTAGTTTAGAACAGCTTTTCCCCAGAAACTTCCCCAGGCTGATCCTAACAAGGGCTTGGTTTTCTGTATTTTATTTTTTTTTTTTTGAGAGTCCCATTTGCAGATATTTAGGGAAGTTGCAGTAGCTCAAAGAAACGAGCTATCCACAGTTATCCAGAAAATTAAGCATCTCAAGCGAACAGGAAAGTTGCGTAATTCCGGAGAGAAGCAGCCACAGCTTTCTCATCCCACTTCCACCAGCTGCTAGCGATTGTGTTCAAACCCATCCTGGTACTGCAAATCCAGCACAGAACACGGAACAGAATCAATTCTAGACGTAATTTTTAATCAACTGAACTCAGCTGTTACTTTTTTCCTCCTTACCCGCCGTTCTCTTTTTCATTCTCATCTTCAAAGATGGAAAACGCAGGCACGACAGGGGCAACAATATTAGCTTTCAGACTTCCATCAGGCTCTTAAAAAGAAAAGATAACCAATATTATCTTCACTCAGCAAAGATGACATGAAACAGTCACATTTTCATCCCTAACCAGGCAACTGAGGGTCACGGCTGCAACCAGCTAGACCAGGAGCATCCTCAGAATTGCCACTCAATCCATCTCTCCCACAAGCTCTTGGAAATGGGGCAGGTTTTTCCATCTCAAAAGCAAGACTGGCCAGGAGTACAGAAGCCTTCTTGGGTGCATCTGACCACTTGTGACATACCTCACTCTTGTAAGCCACTGGTGCTGCCTGGTTTTCAGGCAATTTTAACTGCTATGATAAGATGGCAATTCAGATACTAACACCCAGCCTGCAAAAGGCTTTAGAAAAAAAGCTTCACTCGTATGAAACACCAGTTGTGCCCTTTTCAGAGTTAGGGTTTAAATAGCAGAGGAGCAACGTGTTTAATACACACATTCATAGGCTTGCTGACAGTGAAGTGCTTCTGCTGATCTCAGACTGCGCATCAAAATTTAGAACCTGTCAGTAAATTAAATTCATTATCGGGAAAGAAGTGGCTTCTTCACTCCACACCTAATCAAACAACTACTTATCTCAAAATGATGAGGACTAGTGGGAGAGGTAAGTAGGGAACAAAGGGGTGAAATATCACGGACTGAAAAAAATAAGTAGTACTTACCACTTTTTCTGCAGAAGACTTCAAATTGCTCCTCGCTTTCTTCAAGAGGAGACGGTTCAGGCAAGATGGGTGTTTGAAACATATCCATGAGAAATCCTAAAAAAGAAATAGAAATAACAAGAATGTCAGCCCCAGTAAAAGAAGTTTTTGGAGGTTATTCCATTGTGTAGCAGTCAAATCAAATGCCAATTAATTATCATTATTTGTTAAATGCCAATAAGCAATTATTCCTTCATATTGCATTTCAACACCCCAGACAACTGAACAAACACAGGAAGATCTGACTTGGCCAACACATACTTGTTGGCACCATAGCCTTTTTTCCCTCTCCAAGATGAGATTTCAAGTTCTCCTAAAGGAGCAAATTGTCCTTTATCTTCTTAGATATTTGGAAGACTAGTTAATATCATGAGCTTTTTTTTTTTTAATAATTATTTTCACAGATACGTATTCAGCTGCAGCCGTTTGCTACATGGTTAACAGGTTTACTACCAAAACAGAAGAACATGGCAGAAGAGTACGAAAGGGATAAAAGAGTATCAGGATATTATTACATCACATCTGACATCAGCAACACAATTGCAATTTCCCTTTTAGGATTTTGAAAAAGCAGTGTTTAGAATCGACAGCGTCCGTTAAATAATCAAAGACCTTTTGCGTAAGTCGCCCTTGCTTCAACCTTGGGGGAAACTCAACGTCAACCAGAGTTGACCTATTAACTTCATAACCTTCTTCCACACTAGCCCTGCGTAGGTCATCAGCTCAGAGACAGGAGTCCCCGACAGCACTGACGAGCAGCTCAGAGAACACGCTGCCCAGAGCAGCCTGGCCATGTGTACCACCAGTGACTTATCCCAGAGTTCCCAGGACGTGGCTGCTGGGATGTTATTAAATCATCTATTTCTGGTCAAGAGCTTTGGGTCACTCAGATGATTGCTGAAGAAGAGTATCAATTTAATTTTATTTTCCTCTTTGATTGAACGGTGCACATGCCCATCACTAGATAACCTCTTTGTCCCATTAGCTCCAGCGAAACCAGCATGTCATTCCAGTTGCTTACCCAACGCTTCCTTCGTATGGACTGTGGGTGAAGGTTGGACCTTGAACGGTGTTGCCTGCATCGCTCCTCCCAGCGAGGTGTTCGGGGTGGCTTGAGAAGCATTTCCAGAAGCGAAGGAAGAGTTTCCAACTCTAGATGCTAGAAGCAAGAACAGCGAGGTGGTTTCTGAAGTAGCCTGGGATTGTTTATCAGCATCTCCGTAGCGAGCAAAACATTAGTAAGAGAAGTAAACAAGATGAGGAGCAGAATGACAACCCAGAATTTTGGGAGAGCAGATTTTGGCTTGTTCAGAGATCTGCTTGGCAGGTTCCCAAGGGAGACTGCCCTGAAGGGCAAGAGGGAGCTTGGAGAGCTGGGTGGTCTCCGAGGACTCCGTCTTCGATTCAGAGGAACGACCCGTTCTGGTGTGGAAAGCCAAGTGGGCAGGGAGCCACCACGGACCGACAGCCAACTCCCGACCGAGCTCAAACAGAAAGGAATTGCGCGGGAGGTAGAAACGGGATCAACACTTGGCTTATTACCTTCTTGCACATCCGCAGCAGCCGGCAGTCCAGCGGATCTCACGGTAGGGTGCCTTTAAAGGAAAGATGAAGAACACGAGCTTGGAATAAAAGCTCACCCCAGTAACTCCATAATACGAGTGAGTGACAACTGGTTCCATTTCCTCTCGCTGGCCGAGCCTACGCAGCCACGCTGGCTTTGCCAACCCAGGTTTCCTCCTCCGTCCCCTGATTTTGTTTCCTGTACGAGCCAAGCCATACAAGCAAGAGTGGAGAAGAGAAACACAAACTCTTTTTTTTCTTCTCTGGAGACTTTTACAGCCAAGACGTAATGTATGGGATGTGCATTAAGTAAGCACATGCTGTTGCTTACTTTAGACACACCAGGGACAGCAATGCTGAATAATTACTGCAGTTACACACTGAATTTCCTCTTAGTCATTAATTAAAACACAGGGTTAAGGGAATTAAAAACTGAAATGAGGACTGTAAGTCATCTAAGTTTGACCCATGCCTAAACATTGGTTGCCACAGCCTACTTCAGATTTTTTTTTTTCAGAAAAGAGAGAGACTTTTTTTTTTTTTTTAGTTAATTCTCAGCTGAAGCGTAGCTGCTGAAGACTGCACGACCTGCAGAACCAGCCTGTTCATACGTACTGCTCTCCAGCGCTCCAAGAGTCAGGACGTGCCTGCTCCCGAGCCGAAACGTTATGGAATGAAGGGTGTAACACGCTCTTCTGGACTTCTCCGAGCTCCAGCTGAGCTTTGACCGCATCCTTCTGATACGCTGCTTCCCACAGGGAGGCTGATGTCATCCAGTGGCCACTGGGTTTCACCGAGGGCAGCGTAAGGGCGGCAGATGACGAAGCACTCGATCGAGGCTGGTTTGGCACCACACCTCCTGAGCTTTGACCAGATGCCGTCCAGTTCTGCTGGAGAGCTGCGCTGGGCGTCACACGTGGATGCACCTTTAGGGACGAGAAACGTTCTTTTATGCTCAAAACCTCCCACACGAGCACAGCCACTGCCATTTTCCCTTTTATTTCTGTGTAACTAGAACAGTCTTTCATGCATAAGAGAACTTCCATATGCAACTAAAACTAAATCATGGAGAAGCAAAACTGAACTTTTCGGTTTAACAATTAAAATGTGTTTCATCAAGTATTTGAAGTTATGTCAGGTATCTATACCAGCCAGGTACTGCAGCCTGAACTTCCAGATTTAGTTCACAATCTACTCTGGTGACTGCCTACAGCATCTGTTAAATTTTGTGAGACAGAATCTTAGAATCGGAGAAACATTTAGGTTGGAAAAGACCTTCAAGATCATCAAGTCCAACAGTTAACCCAGCACTGCCAAGTCTACTAAACCACGTCCCTCAGCACCACATCTACACGTCTTTTAAATACTCCCAGGGATGGTGACTCCACCACTTCCCCGGGCAGTCTGTTCCACTGCTTGACAACCCTTTTGGTGAAGAAATTTTTCCTAATATCCCATGTAAACCTGCCCTGGCACAACTTGAGGCCGTTTCCTCTTGTCCTGTCACTTGTTACTTGGGAGAAGAGACCGACCCCCACCTCCCTACAACCTCTTTCAGGTGGTTGCGGAGAGCGATAAGGTCTCCCCTGACCCCCCTGTTCTCCAGGCTGAACAGCCCCTGGTCCCTCAGCTGCTCCTTGTCAGCCTTGTGCTCCAGACCCTTCACCAGCTTCATTGCCCTTCTCTGGACACACTCCAGCACTTCCATGTCTTTCTTGCAGTGAGGAGCCCAAAACTAAACACAGTATTCGAGGTGCAGCCTCATCAGTGCTCACAGGGGGACAATCACTGCCCTAGTCCTGCTGGCCACGCTATTGCTGATACAAGCCAGGATGCTATCTGCCTTCTTGGCCACCTGGGCACACTGCTGGCACGGCTGTTGACCAACACCCCCAGCTCCTTTTCCTCCAGCCAGCTTTCCAGCTGCTCTTCCCCACGTTGCCTGTAGCGTTGCATGGGATTATGGTGACCTGAGTGCAGGACCAGACACTTGACCTTGTTGAACCTCATACAACTGGTCTTGGCACATCGATCCAGCCTGTCCAGATCCCTCTGTAGAGCCTTCCTACCCTCAAGCAGATCAACACTCCTGCCCAACTTGGTGTCACCTGAAAACTTACTGAGAGTGCGCTTGATCCCCTTGTCCAGATCAGTGATAAAGATGTTAAACTGAACTGGTCCCACTACTGAGCCCTGGGGAACACCACTTGTGACCGGCCACCAGCTGGACAAGTTCACGAAGGCTACTCCTACTGATCATAGCACCTACTTACCACCATCTTCATCTTATCCGGTTCAGCGGATGTGGCAGATGCTGGTTCCAGTCTAGTTTCCTCCAAGCTTTTGGTGAGCTGGGTGAGCTGTTCCAGCTTCTGCTGCAGGGCTTGCAGTTCGAGGACAGCGGACTCTTTTTTCCTTCTGGAGTCTCTCTCTTCTTCTTCTAAGGGTTAAATAATGATATCAAGTGAAACTCCAAATGAGTTGCTCAACACAGACAATGCAAGCTGCTTGAATTTAAAATTTAGATATACGCAGTCTGTGCAACTGCAGGACAACACTCAGATCTAGAGGCGTAAGTTTGGGAGAAGCAGGTATTTCCCACAGGACTCAGTGTCTAACCTCCCAGCCCCGATCCCTCAAGGGAGGGCTACACAACGCTATCTCAGCACTGGCCTGGCAACCTGTGACAGCCCCAATGCTTTTCAGCTGCCCACGGGCTGGGCTGCCTCTTCCCTGGTGGGTACTCGTGGTGCCAGGCTCAAACACGTGTTCTAAAAAACACATTAGCATCTTCCTTCCTACTGAAACTCTCCCTTTTCCACTGACCACAATTTCTCCGTTTCTTCCTTTACCAAATGAGATACTTCTTTTGTCCAGCAACATCCTCCAGCAATCCCCCCTCCCCAAACGGTCACACAACTAACTCAACTCCTGAGCAGCTGCTCTTTAATTACACTCAGTTTTGGTTTTCCTTCTCTAAGACTTCGTTTGTCTAATCGAAAGCCCACCTACTTTTTCCCCAAAAAGTCATCAATCAGCAAACAAAGGCATTGCCTCTAACGACAAACGTTGCCTTGAGACCACCCCAGCTGCAAGCGTGCCATCGCTGGCTGTACCAGGGGCATCCCGCAGCCACGTGTGCCACGGAAAGGCCAAGCGAAGACGGAGCGTTGACTTGAGCAAACTGTGGCACCACGTGAGAGTTGAAAGCACACTCTGGGCTCGTTCTGATCGCAGCCTACGGATCAGAAGCAAGATGCTCTCAAGGTTGAATTACAGGTGGCAGAGCCGCAGCCGGAGCTCGCATCAGGGTAACTGACACAGCAAAGAGCTGCCCACACTTGCCTCCCGTTCCCCCAGAAGGAACATCCCCTCTTTACAACAGCCTGGGTTTCAAAAGACAAACCCCAGGGATGAGCTTAAACAGTAAATATCGATGTCAGCCCTTTGGCATGCTACCCAACACTTCCACGCTCACCCCACCCTGATTCTGCACAGGGATGCTAAGTTTTGAGAAAGTTTTCAGACTTCAGTAGAGAAGCTGAAAAGAAACCAGTTCAGCCAAGTAAAAGTTTTCCAAGAATATGAGAACGTTTTCGAAACGGCGAGATGGAAAGAGAAGAATACCCCATTCTTGCTGTCTTCTGAGGCGCTCGTATTTCTTGAAGTATCTCTTGGCTCGTAGCTCCTCGAAGGAAAGCTCAGAGCCTTCACACAGCAGCAGGTTTTTGTCGTACATCGCAACCTGCTCACACTCGACAACAGTGGGCAACGACTTCGGAAGAATTTCAGATTTGGAGATGTACGTAATGTACTTTCTGCGAGGAAAAATAAGAAAAAAGTCTATTCGATTTGATTTATTCCGGGAGTGTGTTCGTTTTCCCACAGTGTGACTTAAAAAGAACCCAAACACTCACACTTCTTCTCTTCCACCAGAAGAACAGGACTGGGCACCAGCAGAATCAGGACCCTAAAACAAAGCAGGGGAAATAAAAAATAAATACAAAAACAAAAGAAAGAAAGAATTCCAATATTATATTTAACCATCCATTTAGACAAGAGCAGCAACCAGGAAACCCTGAATGTTTAATTCTGATTGAAGAGATGACAATTCATACCACAAATGGCAAGAACAGATCAGAGAGAGCACTGCATGAGGAAGTTTGTCCTGAAGAATTAGCCACCTAACAGTTTGCTGTTGTCTCTGAGACCTTTTGGAAGACAAACAAGATCCCAGAGAACTAAGAGAGACAGGTGTAGTTCAGGGAACTACAGTCCAGAAGGACACTGGACCTAGCTGAACAGGTAGTGTCTAATCCAAAAAAACCCAAAAACACAGGAATGCAATTTAGAGATGACTTTGGTGTGCTAAGACTGGGTGGCCTCACCCAATTTCTTTTCCCTGACAAGCTATCCAACCTCAGGGCTAAGGAACAGGCAGCAGATAGAGTAAATTCCGAGCTCTGTTCCATCATCCAAGAGAACTTTCAGTGTTTGCAGGCAACACCAAAGAGTCACGAGCACTTCAGAAAACAGGACCAAGTCAAGAAAGGTTACAGCAGTTTCCTACCCACAGTCTTTCAGCCTTTATTTTCACTCCCCTTTCATCTGACTGCGCCAGAAGGGCTGCGAAGAACCATAACCAGCTTTGCCAAACCTCAGAAGAACGAGAACCTTGCGTTCTGGTACTCAGCTAAAACGAGTTACAGGTTGCACGGTTTCTTTTTTTGTTGTTTTATTGTGGGGAAGGGGGTGAAGGAAGATGACTGCAGGGTGACATGATTTGGACTGTAAAAAAAAAAAAAGTAAATTCAAGATCTCCAGGAAGGATGATCAGAATCTCAGCTGGAACTTGCGAGAGACCGACCTGGCAAGCTGTAAAAGGGCTCACCAGCTCCCACAAAGTCACCTCCTGGTCACCTCCCAGCTCAACAGTCTGACTTCTACAAGCCACCATCCCACTGAGGACCAGCTGGGAAATTTCTCTGCCTCTGACATTATATTTCATTTGTTCTTAAAAAGAGTATTTAAAGAAGTAATTTGAATTTCATGAAAATTCCATGCAGGCAATTCCCAAGAAGCATGACTGGCACAGAATCTATTGATAGTGTTCCTCCAAAGAATGCTAACCATCTGGATGGATCACTCCTTGCCTGTGATTCTGGAAACACACCAAGTGACTAAAAAGCGTGTCCCAACACTTCTCAATTGAGATATTTCTAGGAAGATGTGATGTTTATGGTATAAAACCACCAGCAGCATTTTTGAGATACACCAGATATAGTTAGTGTATTTTATCTTTCTTATTCAGTCAAGCTCACCGATTTAAGTTTTTTCGCCTCATTTTTCCCCACAGTGTCCAAGTCACTTATTAATAGTCATTTACCTGATTTTTGCAAGCGTACACTGGGTCATCGAGCTTTGAAACACTTTTTCGAGGAGCCATTTGATTTGCAGCATGTGAAGTTTGAAGTGGTTTTGTGAGAGCAGCACCTGGGAGAGATAACAGGTTTGCATTAATTAGCAGAAATCGTGTTCTCGTTTATGAATTTGTATTAACTTTAAGCATTGGAAACCTAATATCTCATTTTGAATACACTCCCCTTAAAAATCTTAAATATAGCCAGGAAAATAGAATAAAAAATAGTTTCTGCAGGAAACTTAGCTCCTTCAGGGACAAAACTCACCGATCGAAGTAAAAAATTCATTCAATTGAGCTACAGCTCACAGGCAGATAGCTTTAGCCTCACCTTGCAAAGGAAGATTCCGAGGATCGTAATTCTGCAGCCAGCTAAATTGCAAGAAACGTCAGTTATTATCATTAAGTCGCCTGTCCCTCATTCCTCCCCACCTCCCAGGAACATTTGATTTCCTTGTACGCTCATCACGCCTTGAAATACAACACAAAAACGCTCAGGTTGGTTACAAGACACTTATTGTACGTGGACTTATCCTGTGAGCTTCGCATTCTCAAAAATAAAAAAGCCTGCAATGGGCAGCAGTATATGGAAATAAACATGATGATGTTTTATCATCCCCAGAGGGAACACCTGTCACCATGACAAGCACCAACTCTAGTGCTTCCAACAGCTAAATGCTAAACTCCAACAGGCAGCCACCCCCAGCTAAGTACTACGGACAAGAAACTGGATGTATGTGTTATTGTCAATACATCCCCAAGGTGGGCTACAAAATCCAGCTCGGATCAGGAATTGGACACCTGATCTCACTGCAGTTCCAGCCGTGGCCACCAACCAAAACCAAAGAGGGTCCAAGTCAAGCAGCAGCTGAAGCTGCATCCAACTGGCAGCATCACGAGAGCTGCAGCCAACTACTACGCTCTGGAAAGGGCACAGATGTCCCCAACTTGAAAAGCCAAGTGTCATTAGCACGTCTAACTTGCTTGAGCTTCCAAGTAGTGATGCTCACACATCGTGTTTCCAAGGCAGGCTGCCTGCTGCAGGTCGGGCTACGCATCTTTATGGTTTGGATCTACTTAACAGAGACCAGACAGGAAACGAATCAATTAAGAGATTCTCTTTCTGGGCCCTACATCACTAAAGACACTCTGGTACAGTTTCTCTCAACACGTCCTCCAAAACACCCAACAAATATTCAACACCAAATCAGTATCGTTAAACTTATACCTACCTTTTAACAAAAATAATCATCGATCTACCTCTGCTACAGCACAGGGCATGTCCACATAAGAAAAAAAATATTTTATCACGCGCTACCGAATAGCTCAATAGGTAGAAGACGTGTCAGAATTACCAGTGCAGCTGTTGCAAGGTTTCTCGTGGCTGTGCCTGGTTGTGGAGCCCTTTCTGGAGGACAGCTCCCGCACACTGCACGTTGCCTTCGTTTACGAGCTGCTGAGCCCAAGCAACATAGAAGTCGGATGCCTTGGCACCAATTCCCTGTCCGTACAGGTAGTCAAAATACTGGCAAGGAGAAGTGATGAACTCCGCCTGCGTAAGATAAAGACGAATAAGCCATAAGCACTTTCAAAAACATCCAAGGAAGTTGCAGGCAAAAAAAACCCCAAATAACAATTTCTTAGTTGCTATTGTAAGAAGGCATAATTTTCTAAAGATAAAGTCAGTTAGTAGATAAGATGCCTCTCACAAGCTAATAAGGACACAGCTTTAAAAAAACATGCTATCCTTCAGCAAGCTCTGAGAGCTCCTGGGGAGAGCAATACATCGCTCCGGGAGGGGAATTGGACCAGATGATCCTTTGAGGTCCCTTCTAATCTCTAAAATTCTGTGATTCTGTGAATTCCATGCCACATCCCCAAGGGCTCCCTTTCCTCCCACAGCTCTTTGCAGCCACAGAACTACAGAAGGGTGAGGCAACTTTCATTTTTTAGGGCAGCTTAATTCCCAAAAAAAGCATACACCTACCAGCTTAACGCAGTGGTTCACGAACCTCGGGTCCTGGTGGTACCTCTTGTCGCTCAAGAACATCTTCACGAGCTGCTCCAGGAGCCCGGGCAAGCGGTTCTGCTGCTCTGGAAGGGGCAAACATTCTGCCACCCACCGCACGTACCTGAAACACACGCGGCGAGTCACGACCCCCCCGTGCGCCAGACGCCATCCCCGCACCCGAGC